CAAAACACCGATGTATTCCTTGTGTTATGCTGTCACAACTTCTTTTGGCAGCATATTCTATGGATCACTCTTTACGGCTGCAATGCGAACATTACGGTGGGAGGTGAGCAGTACAAAGTCTATTGGTTGGATTGTTCTACTAATAATATATGTCCACATTTGTGATTTCTGTATGACTAACAAATCTTAGGGTTAATAACTAGATCATACTTATTTTATATATATTAGGGGATTGAGGTCAAAGATTGGGGGAAACAAGTGTTTGCTCTGTTATGTTGATTTTCTGTTTCATCTGGTAGAGTTTTTAGTTCGTTGATTTAATAAGTTTGCTTATGTTCAGGTACTTTTTCTATATATACAGTGTTCATTCTCCCTCTTCATTCTTCCATAATATTAAGACTTTTTATGGAATATGAGATATGCTCTTTTACTTTGCTTGCTTCGACGGTGATTGATTGGGAAATATGTCTCCTACAGAGTGTATAATTCGTGCCTTTTTATGATGAATATCGAGTTAAACATGCAGAATTGAAACTGAAGAAAAAGTGAAATGAAAATGGATGTGAAATGAGTTTTAATGTTGTATATTGGTGAGAGCCTTGATTGGATTTGAAGTTAGAGGATTTTAATTTCCCCAACTTCTTTGGGAAGTTGTCTCTAGTGGTATTTTTGCATTGATCTGTCTGATGGTGAAAAAAGAAAGAAAGATAAAAGAATTAAGCCAAATGAACATAGCTCTTGACACAATGGATGACATAGCACTCACATCCGAGGTGGTGGGTCCCTATGAATAAAATAATCCGACCTCCCCCATGTGCGTGTGGTATGTCATCCCCGATGTCAACCTCTATGGTTGAGTAGCATGGTCCAACATAAAAACTCACAAGCTGATTGTGCTGACTTGTGCTTGCGTTCTAAATTTTGTTAATGTATCAATATTCTAAGTATGCTGAATCTTGTCCTCCATTTTAATTATGTTAAATGCTCAATTCGAACCTGTTGATGACTAAGATCTTACATTAGTTAAGCAAAATTTTTGTAGTTAAAATACAAGGCTTAAGTGACACCATCCACCATTAATATCTCAAGGAAAATTAAAATTCTTGTTGTCCAAAACATTCCGTTAGGCGCTTGCTATATATGGAAGACAAAAGATGCAAATATAATTGTATCTTTTGGTGCTTCTTAACATTGGTAATAAGATTTAGTTTTTTGTTGTTGTCTGTGGTGGTGGAATTTCATATATTTTGTGGAAGAATATTTAACTCGTAGAATAGGGAAAGAAAGAGCAGTTACTTCCAACATGCTAACTGCTAGAGCTACCGATTCATTCTTACGTCTTTTACTTAATTACACCAACTGTTAATAAACGAGACACGCTATTGCTTTATCTTTCCAGATTGCAGTTTACGGAAAAAGCTTTAATAACTCAGCAAAAGATGCCTGGGAGCTGTTCCAATCTACAGGAGTTGAAGCACTTGTTGCATATGACTGTTCAGGTGCTGTTCTACTGATGGACACATTCTTGGGTGGGCTGATTGCCAGGACTTGTGCAGGTGTTTGGTCTTGCATCATATGCTTCTAACACAGCATAAATGGTGGGATCTACTGCCATGTTGATGAGGATGATCTTGGTTAGTTTGTTTTATTTAAGCACCCCATCCCACACCAAGATTTTGAGGAGAAAGAAAGTTAATTGGAAAATGGTGATGGAAAAGAATTTAAATTCCAAGTGAAATTCTTTGAAACAAATGACTTTTCACAGTTCAACTATTTTATTCAATCAAAATGATGTACCTCACCAAACCCTTAATTTTTCATGACTGCACATCATTTTAGGAAAAGTTACTCGTGGGGACAACCACCTACACATAATTAGAGCCTAAAATGAAGCATCTGAGTATCTATCCTTTGATTTAGATGAAATATTGACCTAGTTAAAAGTATAGCTGGTTAAGTATCTTATCTTTTGTATTCTGAAAGTATAACTGATTGTTGCCGGCTGCAGGTCGGTTTTGGTGACTGTAGTTGTGGAAAGTGCAGTGAAGTCTATTTATCTCTGTTACGCGCAAGACCCTTTATTAAAAGGTTGAACCCCAACCTTAAGGGTCCCCCACCGCCCCTGTCCTGGAACATCGTGAGGGAGGTAAATCGCAGGTTATGCCTCCAAGGGTACAGGGCGCAAGACCCTTTATTAATACATAGGTGGGATGCACCGTTCTTTGAACAGATGTCGGAGAAACTACACCAGAGCCTTCAACATAGAAGTGCACGCTCAAGATAAGTATTAAGTCATAGAATAGATGAGCAAATACAAGAAACAATTGCTGTTTGAATACAAGAAGCATCAATAGCTGTTAAGTACAGTTAATTCCTATGAAATTTGAAATCCTCGTTTTCTTCTCTCAGATAACATATCGAAACATGTTTATGAAAGTGATTTTCTTGGGGAGAATTAGTTTGCAACTGGGTTCACACTTTTTATAGAAGAAAAGTGTCAAACTTATGGGATTCTACCACCCTGCCAAGTTAAGATGCAACATGAAAAGTTCAAAGATTGAGGTTGAATTGAAATTTAGTAAATTTATAAGGTAGAATCTATGATTGCTTGAACTTACGACATGCATAATCAAATTATGTACAGTTCGTCATTGACAAGTAAACCATCGTGTTACTTGTATTGTGAGTTTTTCTTGGTCTGGTCAGTTATTTAATTGTCCTTGTAAATATGTTGCAGTGCTAATTAATTAACAAAACTTAATAAAAATATGTGCATTGAATTCATTCTAAACTCTTTATTGCATAATCAAATTAGAACATTCGAAACTATCTTATTAATCATCAGTAGTAATGATCAACAATCCAATACATATTTACAATATTTTCACATGTTTTAATGAAATAATCACATATCAAATAATCAATTCTTCTTCTCTACCTGCCTATATGTTCTCCCTTTCTCGTTCTTCTTCGTCCTTCCTGGAGCCATAGACAGAGAACAAGCCAGTTAATTATAACAGAAATAATTAAAAATGATCCGTAAACTGTGAAAAAAATTCACTTATTCAATAAAAAGCACATACTCGGTTTATTTCTTCTGCTCCGGACGATTTGAGGTATGAAAACACCAGTTCCATTGCCGGTTCTCCACAAGTTCAATATCCATGCAGGTGCTGCATAATCCTCCTTATTCCCTGACCAGTTATAAAAACAGGTAGGTGGCTTTACAGAAGAAGTCATAGGGATTGAACCGTGTTTTCGCGCCTCGTTCATGTTTGGACTACTTCTGTTTTCACGTAATTCTTCATCATCACTATCTTCTGCTGTTAATAGCATAACTTGTCTCCTAAGTTCACTGTAGAAAACGTCGTCATCTTCTTCATGTTCTTCTTCAAATTCATCGTATGAGAAAACGTTCTTTGCGTACATTTCTTGTTTAAGGTTGCGATGGAAATCCATTGAGGGAAATGCTTGAAATTTATGGTTTGAAAGGTTGTAACTTTTGGAATTTATATTTCAGAGCCTGATGGAAAATGTGCTTTGACTGTGGTCAAATTTCGAAGGCAGTGGAAGATGGACTTTTCAGTCGTCTGCAAGTGGACCAAATTCAAAGTATAGTTGTCACGTCACGTAATCTTTTTTCTTTAGGTTGAGTCGTTTGAGGGGTAACTCGTTGAAGTGAGAAAAGGTCTATTTGAAACCTTCCAAATGTTAATAAAATTCAAAATATTAGGATGCATTTGATTGTAAGTACGAAATTTATATAAAAAGATTTGCATGAAAATTATCAATTAAATATTTTTGATTGATTTAATTTTTCACTTAGAAAATATTATACTTGTCAATTTTTATCAATAGGTAGATGAGAGTGAGTAAATAGATGAGTAAGATAAAGTGAAATTCTTGAAAGATAAAATCCTTCTCCTCCTAATGAAAATATTTTCCTTAATTTTGACGAAAATAGGG